AGACTTCCAAGGGCTGGAAGGCGCACCACAACCCGGGCCCTGCCTCCCTCTTCCTGCCTCCTCCCCTGCTGCTCCCCCCTGCCTCATGTTGTGCTTGCCCACAACTTTTGCCCCTTCTGCTGCTGCCCTGAGTGCCAGCCTGCACATCCCTGCCCAGGGCCCTTTTGAACATGCTGGGCTACTCCTGGCCCAGAATGGACTGCCGGGCATCACAGGTCTGTCTGGGGGCCGAAACTCCTGGCATTCTTTTCAAGGATCAGCTCAAACGTCACCGAGGTGAAGACTTCCCCGTCACCCACGGGCCACAGGATTGCAGCGCCCCCCTGTTGGTACCCCTGTGCCCGGACCTTTTGTGGACTCTGCTGGCACCGTCACACCTTGTCTCAGGCTGTCAGTGTCTGAGCCTCTCTTTTTTCCCTGGACGAGTCAAGTCCTCTGTGCCATCTGGTCGCTCTTCTATATCGCAGTACCCGAGGCCTACCTGGGGGGGGGGGGGGGGGCGCGGGGGGCGGGGCGGGCGGGGGGGGGGTGGGGGGGGAGGGGGCGGGGGGCGGGGCGGGGGGGGCGCGGGGGGGCGGGCCCGGCCCAAAGCCTGGTGACAGGTGAAAGTCGGCAGGTGAACTGGTGCTCCACCGCTCCCCCGGCAGATGGCCAAACTTGTCCCTCTGCACCCCAGGCCCTGGGGGAGGCGCTGGCAAGAGTGGAGCCATGTCTCATCCATGGCTGTCCCTCAAGCCCGCCGTGGCCCTCAGGCCCTGCTCCTATTGCTCTGTCAGAATCTTTAGGTGGTCCCAATCTATGCTTAAAATTCTCCCCCCCCCCATTTGTCCAGCCTGGTTCCTGTCTACTCTTAACAGTCATTCCAGAAAAAACTGGGAAAACACTGGGAGGCAGAAGAGCGCCAGGTCCCAAAGAGCAAGAAGCACAGGTCCAAATCCTTGCTGGGCACTCCCGGAGAAGTCACATAACTTCCCTGTGCCTCAGTTTCCCCTCCACTCAGTGGGGTGAAGAGGATGGATGAGATGCGAGGGCAACGTGCCTAGCACACAGTGAGCGCTTGTGAAATGTGCGCAGGTGGTGACCTCCGCTGCGGAGCCTGCGGCCCCGCCAGCCCCGGCAGGGCCTGGGGACGCTCGGGCAGCAGCAGGAAGTAGGACAGAGCTACCTCTCGGTTCACACCTCCGCCAGCGTCCTCAGGGCTGCCCGCGGTGGTAGGAAATGGGTTGCAGGCGGGACCCGCGCTGGGATTCCTCATTTCCGTTCCCGGTCTTTGGGGACAAACATTTTCAGTTTCATTTAATCACAAAGCTTCTTAATTAGGTTTTTTTTTTTTTTTTTCCTTTTTGAGTTCTGAGTTGCTAAGCCGGCCCTGCTGGCAGGAGCAGAAACGCCACCCAGGACGCCTGGCTCCTTCAGGGCCACCACCAGGGCCCAGCGAGGGGTGAGGCGGGGGCCTCATACCAGCCGCGGCTCAGGTGGTCACTTCCTGAGTCATCCAACAGACACCTCCTGTGCACCTGCTGTGTGCCAGGTGTTGGGGACACAGCAGAGGTACCAGCAAGGTCTCCACCCTCAAGGAACTTACTATCTAGCTCAA